CCGCTGAACATTTCTGGGAAAGCCTTGTAAAGGAGTAATGGGTTGAAATGGCAGTTCAATCTATTATATGGGACTTGACTTCAGGTATAAACTGTTTTTGGAAACCACTTAGAACAATCTGAGTTTACACTCCCAATTACCTGCTTCTGTGCCTAAACCCTAACTGGGACCATTCTACTTCTGGTACCTTGTATTTCATTTTTTTTTTTAAAATTTAAATTAGAAACAATCTTATTTTATATATCAATCCCAGTTCCCTCTCCCTCCCATACCTCCCACTGACCCCCATCCCATCCCTCTTCTGCTCCATAGAAAGGGTGAGGCCCTTTAATGGTGGCTCATCAAAGTCTGTCACATCATTTGGGGGCAGGGCCTAAGCCCTCCCGTGTGTCTAGGCTGAGAGAGTATCCCTCTATGTGGAATGGGCTCCCAATGTCCATTTGTACACTAGAGATAAATACCGTTCCACTACCAGAGGTCCCATAGACTGCCCAGGTCTCCTAACCGTCACCCACATTCAGGGGGCCTGGTTCTGTCCAAAGCTGTCAGTCTGGGGTCCATGAGCTCCCCCTTGTTCAGGTCAGCTCTTTCTGTGGGTTTCCCCAGGCTGGCATTGTCCCTTTTGCTCATCCTTCCTCCCTTTCTATAACCGGACAGTGCTTAGCTGTGGGTCTCTGCTTCTGCTTCCAACAGCTACTGGATGAAGGCTCTAGAATGGCATATTAGGTATCAATCTCATTATAGGGGAAGGGCATTTAAGTTAGCCTCTCAACTACTGCTTAGAATCTTAGTTGGGGTCATCCTTGTATATCTTTGGACATTCCTCACCCCCCTTTCTTCTAAATCCCTCTCCCTTCTTCTCATGCTCCCAATTGGCTCAGGAGATCTTGTCCCTTTCCCCTTCTTTGGGGAATCATGTATGTCTCTCTTAGGGTCCTTCTTGTTTCCTAGCTTCTTTGGAGATGTGGGTTGTAGGCTGGTAATACTTTGCTCTATGTCTAATATCCATACATGAGTGAGTACATACCATGTTTGTCTTTTTGTGACTGGGTTACCTCATTCAGGATGGTTTCTTCTAGTTCCATCCATTTGCCTGTGAAATTCAAGATTCCATTGTGTGTGTGTGTGTGTGTGTGTGTGTGTGTGTGTGTGTGTGTGTGTGTGTGTGTGTGTCCCGCCCCCGAGTAATATTCCATTGTGTAAATGTACCACATTTTCTTTATCCATTCTTTAGTTAAGGGGCATCTAGGTTGCTTTCAGGTTCTGACTATTACAAATAATGCTGCTATGAACATAGTTGAACAGATGTGCTTGTTGTATGAATGTGCTTCCTTTGGGTATATGCCTAAGAGTGGAATTGCTGGATCTTGAGGTAGACTGAGTCCCATTTTCCTAAGGAACCGCCATACTGATTTCCAAAGCAGCTGTACAAGTATGCATTCCCACTAGCAATGGAGGAGTGTTCCCCTTTCTCCACATCCCGTCCAGCATAAACTGTTGTTGGTGTTCTTGATTTTAGACATTCTGACAGGTGCAAGATGGTATCTCAGAGTTGTTTTGATTTACATTTCCCTGATGGCTAAGGATTTTGAGCACTTTCTTAAGTGTCTTTCGGCCATTTTAGATTCCTCTATTGAGAATTCTCTATTTAGTTCTGTACGCCACTTTTTAATTGGATTGTTTGGTGTTTTGGTGACTATCTTCTTGAGTTCTTTGTATATTTTGGAAATCAATCCTCTGTCAGATGTGGGGTTGGTGAAGATCTTTTCCCATTCTGTGGGCTGGCGTTTTATCTTGTTGACTGTGTCCTTTGCCTTACAGAAGCTTCTCATTTTCAGGAGGTCCCATTTATTAATTGTCATCATCTCAGTGTCTGAGCTACTGGTGTTATGTTCAATTCATTCAAGGGCTGGTACCTTGTATTTCAATGTGGATCTAACATCACTGCCACGTTCATTCTAACCCAATTAGAGGATGAAATAAACCCAGAAATAGGGGACTGGAGAGATGGCTCAGAGGTTAAGAGCACTAGCAGCTTTTTCCAGAGGTTCTGAGTCCAATTCCCAGCAACCACATGGTGGTTCATGACCATCTGTAATGAGGTTTGGTGCCCTCTTCTGGGGTGTAGGCATATATGCCAGAACACTGTATACATAATACATAAATATTAAAAACAAAAAACCAAAAGCATGACCTTTACTTTCCTGGGCACTGGTGGCACACGTCTTTAATCCCAACACTCGGGAGACAGAAGTAGGTAGATCTCTGTGAGTTCGAGGCCAGCCTGGTCTACCTTAGTGAGTTCCAGGACAGGTTCCAAAACAATACAGAGAAACCCTGTCTTGAAAAAACAAACAAACAAACAAACAAAAAACTCTCAAAACCCAGAAATAACTGCTCTCAGGATCTGTGTTATAAGTGAGAGCCAGGAGTAGTGGCGCACGCCTTTAATCCCAGCATTTGGGAGGCCAAGGCTGGTGGATCTCTGTGAGTTCCAGGGCTATGCAGACAGACCCTGTCTCAAAACAAACACACAAAATAAAGTAAAATAAAATAAGATGGAGATAAGACCTGAAAGTGGTTTTTGTGGGATACTGATCTATGCCCATGAACACACTATTCTGAAATGATTACAAGAAAGACCAGAGCAAAGATTAATAGAATTGTCAAAAATATTGCAATAGTAGGAACTTCATTTTAAGATGCATTGTCCTTGGTGGCAAGCATGAAAGAACCAGAACTTCATCTCATAGAAAGATTTTATGGTCTAGAAGTGGGATATCTTTGTACTACTAAGCGGGTAGAAGTCTGTAAGCTGATACTTGTTTCAAGACTTTTTTTTTAAAACATATATATTATTTATTTTTGTTTCATGTGAATTGAATTGATGTTTTGCCTACATGTATTTCTGTGTGAGAATGTTGGATTCTTAGGAACCGAATCTACAGACAGTAGTGAGTTGCCATGTGGGTACTAGGACTCTGGAAAAACAGCCAGTGCTTTTATCTGCTGAGCTCTCTCTCCAGCCCCCTTTTAAGAGTTTTGTTAGATCTTTGTGAGACAAGATCTAGGTTTCAAGAAACTTCAAAACTGAAGACCCTGCCTGCTTCTTCTTGGAATTAAAGGTGTGGGCTGCCATGCCTGGCCTGGAAACCTTTTGGAAGCAGGAGAGACAGTAAAGAGAACTATGTTGAACAGTGTTGGGCACGATTATCAATCAGTAAGTGGAGTCACTAAGTGTCAGAACCCTTGGGTAAGGCACACACTGGCCAGTGCTGTGAGATACTGTTGCCTCCTTTTCCTCAGTCTACATGGAGTACCTTCAACCCACTTGAGACAAGTTTCGTTCCAGGAACTCTGACAGGGAGATACGAAGAGATGGTTTAAATTTGTAGAGACTGCTTTTGGAGAGTTCAATTAGCTATACAAATAAGTGAGTTATTATAAACCTACCCACACAGACATAAGCGTAGTAATTTATAAACTACTAGCATAAAATTAAGGGCAGAGGAGAGGAAGCCCAATATTTCAAATTACTCATCTGCAACACCATTACTCCCCACCCCACTGTAAGGATTCAGGCATTATGCTGGCCTGCCCCTGTCATTTGGCAGAATGCACTCAAGCAGTACCCTGGTCAGCACACAGGTGCAAAGGACCCCTTTAAAAGAAATACCCCCACCCACTTACTCTTTTTTCCTGCTGTTCCCTTGGGGCAGACAGAACTTTTCCTGTCTCCCTCTTCTCTTCTGTCCTCTCTGTCTCTGTGTCTCTTTAACTCTTTTCTCTTTCTTCCCCCTCTATCCCTTTCTAATAAAACTCACTTAACCTTTGTCTGCCTGGCATGTTTGTCCCCTGCCTCAGTCACCCTCTCCTGCAATGGAATCCATCAATGTTCTCCACTTGTTATCATAACACCTACCCTTTGACTTTGCTATTTTAGCTCTAAAAGTGTCATCATTTTCTTTTACACAGGTTCCAAGCCTCGTGCTGTACCACCTTCTGAGTATCCTTCTCTAATCTCACAGCCCTTTGTCTTATCCTTCTTCATGGATAGAGTTTTAAAAAACAAAACAAAACAAAAAAAAAACCCCATCTCCTCCATAACTCCACCTGCCTCAGTGATCTCACTTCAGAGCCTCACATCGTTGATGCTCAAAACACAACTGACCTCAGTTGCTAAATAAATGCTGTAGTGTGTGAATCAGCACTGTGTTCCAGACCCGAGGAATCAACTGACCTTTTCATGTGACATCATGGTCTTCATCTGGGCATCACAGCTTAAATGTTCTAGGGTCAAAACCTTCTAGTCTAGCAGAAGGAACACCCAAAAGAATGGTGGTCCAAAGCACAAGAGAAGGAAACATGCCTAGCTCTCCTGACAGGAGAGACAAGCTCTGTGAGTATTGGAAGCCAACCCTGAGTCATTCGGGCTAGATCACACCACTCAGTAAATCATCATGCCACTGCCTTCTGTACCATGCCTCTCAGGTCCTGACTGTGAAGCAGACTGAAACTGCAGGACTTCTTTTGGGGTCTCCTCAGAAGAGTATGTCTCCCCGGGTACAGAAATAGCCTCCTACCCCAGCTTCTCACAGGCACGATCGATCCCCTGGGACAGCATGATATATGCAGGACAGCCACAAGCCGAGCCGAGGTTTGAAGAAAGCCAAACTTGTTAAAGCCAAAGAAATCAAGAACAGGCTAGAATCAGAAGTCAACAACCACAAGCCCTCCAAGATGGTGGGGAACAGCAAGAAAGAGGACCCCGGAAGTCAGTATTGTAGGTAGACCCTGCTAAATGTGAAGGAGCATAAGGCAGAAAACAGACAAAAAGCAGATGAGGACTGTTTCCTGATCAGGCTCTGGCTACCTCAGGCTCATTTGACCCCTCGAAGAGCTGGCTAGCAGTGGGGTGGATTCTGGGATTGGACAAGGGCAGAGACACGTCACCACCAGCTTTCAGCTACAAAGGACCTCCCGTTTCAGAATTTGTTATTTTTTCCCTTACATATAAGCTAGCTTTCCTAATTTCCTTTGAATGAGCAGATGGGAACCTCAAGTTTTAGGCACATCCTTCAAAATATTCACTATAACCTTGGCAGACATTTTTCTCATATTCCGGTTTTCTTTTAGAATGTGTCTAACGGTTTCTTTATCTAAATTTAATTCTTCAGCCATCATTCTCACCGTTAACTGCCTGTTTGGACAAACCACGTCCTTGACCTCCTAGATATTTTCATCCGTCTCATGGGTGACTGGAAGACCACTTTATGCATCATCTCAGACATCTTCCTGCCCTACTTTAAACTTTTTGCGCCAGTCAAAAACTCTAGCCCTGGACACCACTTCATCACTGTAGGCGTCTTTCAAAAGATGGTGGGTGTCACTTGCAGACTTGTTTAACTTTACACAAAACTTGATACTAATCCTTTGTTCTAAATAGCAATCACTGATTTTGGCATTAAGCCATACAGGAACATTATCAGGCCACGACTGTGAAACGACCGAGGTATCAATCTCTAGGGTGCTGCTGGCCTAATCATTTCGCTATTCCTGCTCTTCTGGAAGCCACCAGGGAACTTACTATTTTTCTGAGTTCTCGCCCTTAGCGTCTAGTCGAGGTGTGTGGCAGACAATCTCGCACTAACCGGGCCATTGAATAACTGCGAGGCATAGCTGGGAAAAAATAAATCCTCCACAACCTATGTTTGCGTCCAACCCGTGCGTGGAGTTTGCAAAGCAGTCACCCATGTAAAGTCCGTGGCGACTCATACAATGGACGCATAAACAGTGGCAACCTAAACAAGCAGAGGTGACGCGGCCGTGGTGTAACGATCGAACTCGCCCCAGACCTGCAGAAACACACAGACGACGAACCTACCGGAGATGCCCGGGTTTCTGCTCTGGAGGCCCAGGAGGCAGGGCCGCATGCGCAATTTCTCCTTCGCGTGGGTTGGGTTGTGCGCGTGCGCACCTCCGGGCCCCGCCGCCTCCACGCCACACCCGGTCAGACGCGCTCGAGTGCGCATGCCCGTCCGCGGGAAAGGTCGCCGGCGAGGAGGGCGGGGGAGGAGGGCTGAGAGAAGAGAGGGCACCCTCGAGCGCCAGAGTGCATTGTGGGAAGGAGGCGGCAGCGTCCCGGGCGGGCTGGAGGTGCAGCAGCGGTGGCGGCGGCGGGCGGGGCGGCCATGCTGCCCTGATGAGGCCGGGAGGGGAGGGCTGAACCAGCAGATGGCGGGGCGACCATGCTGAACTTCTGCGCTGCCCCCAACTGCACACGGAAGAGCACGCAGTCCGACCTGGCTTTCTTCAGGTTCCCTCGGGACCCGGCCAGGTGAGCGGGTCGCGGAGGTGGCGGGGACCTCGGCGCACGTGCGCTCTCGGGGACCTGGCTGAGAAGGTGCCACCCGGGGGCGCGAAAGCGGATGAAGTGGGCGCCTAGCGCCTTCTGTCGTCTGACTCGTTTCCTTAGCTGTCAAAGAAAGGTTAGGACTCTAGGGTTGTGTTCCCGGCGGCCCTGCCTTCCCCCGCGTCACCCGTCTCTTCTAGGACAGTGTTTCTGTCTGGAGTCGAGCCGCTTTCTTTGATCTTAAACCAGGTCACAACTGCTGCCTCCTTCGGACTTATCATCGCAATGTTCGAATGCAGACCGTTACTCATTGTCTCCTTGGTTATTGTGGAGAACACAGAGGGTGCGAGTGAGGGCGTGGGAATAGTTATTGAAACTTCACTCTTCTCTTGGGGTTGCTCATACTCTGGGCCGTACTTTTAGAAACATAGGGACTTAATGTGTTAGGCTGCAGGCGTTTCACGGGTCTCTCTCTTGGTTCATTCATTTAAGTCAGTACTTAACCATGTTTGGTGTACTCATGGCAGGTGCTGGGAACTCTGAATGCTGTCACAGACCGCAGAAAGCGCCTAATCCGTGGAGGGAGCAGATCTACCAACAGGCGTTGTCATATAGCATGCTATTTATTAGTTGAACAAATATTTATTGGAAGTCTACAATTGGTAGAAATTGATCTGAGCAGGGGTGGAGGTAGGGGTGGTAACAGATGAACCAGTGAAAGTCCCTCCTTGCTCTCAGAGGTTACTTTAAAGTGGTGAGAAATTGGCAAGTACAATATTTACAGAAGTATGGCAAATAATGAAAAATTACCCTGGAGAAAAATGCAGCAGAGGTTGGAAGGGTTTAAACGTAGCCAGGGAGCAGCTGGAAGAGCACTTGCACTTGCAGAACTGGGTTCTGAACCCACATCAGGTGACTTAACCACCCTTAACTCCATTTCCAGGGAATCTCATGCACAACCTCTTTGGGCTTTTGTGTGTACCAGGCTCAAAATGTAAAGCACTCATGCATAAAAATAGATTTTTTTTTTTTAAAGTGAAACCAGGGAGCTGAGCATGGTGGCATGCTCTGTAACCCCAGCTCTGAGGATGCAAGGGGAATTGGCTTGAGTTTTGAAGCCAGCCTGAGTAAAAGTAAGTTGCAGGCCATTTAGGGCTATAGTTGTGAGATCTTGTCTCACCCATTAAAAAACAACAACAAAAAATAAATGGTAAAATTGCTATTTTAAACAGAGGGTTCAAAAGTCTTGCCTCAGGGAATTTGAGCAGAGTTGAGTTGGGGCAGGGGACAGGCATGAAATATCTTAGACAATCTGGAAACAGGAAGGGTGAGGTCAAGGCATGCTTGCTGGTGAGGTGTATATAGAAGTCACACATTATTTGGTAAATTGTTGTCCATGGAAAACACTGGCATTTACTCCAAGTGAAGTGAGAGAACTTAGAGCTGAGAGAGGTGGGTTGTTTTTTTTTTTTTTTTTTTTTTTTTTTTTTGCCTAGTTTCCTATACTCTCATTCTGGGTATCGCCTCAGGATCATAAAATCCACAATGTAGGAAGAGATCTGTATGTACCTGTGGCGCTGACCACGCCCATTTGGGAGTGGTCACAAGTGTGTTCTTAATAGGATTACTGGCTGCTGGTTAATAGCAGGGGAGTAAAAGTGAAAGCAGGAAAACCAGTGAAAGACTATTGTAGTAATCCAGATCTGTAGAAGAGGAGGAGGTATGTTGGTGCATTTTAGATAAGGTTTGGGTGTGGATTATAGGAGAAAACAGAGTCAAGGGTAACTCTGGAGATGATGTATGTGAGTAGGTACATGTGTGTCTGTGCTTGTGGAGGCCAGAGGACAGATATCAGGTGTCCTGCTCTAGTACTCCCCTTATTTCTTTGAGACAGGGTCTCTGACTGCACCTATAGCCAGGCTAGTGGTCTGCAAGCCCCAGCAGTCCTCCTGTCTCTACTCTCCATAGAGTTTCAGGCGTGGCTTTTTATGTGGATGCAGTGGTCTGAACTCAGATCCCCATGCTTGTACAGTAAATGATTTCACCCACTGAGCTATCTCTCCTAGACTCCTGAGATTTTTAACATAAAAGTTAACTAACACAAGAAAGAGTGGGAAAGCACTCGGGAGGCAGAGGCAGGGGCAGGCGGATCTCTGTGAGTTTGAGGCCACCTGGTCTCCAGAGCGAGTGCCAGGACAGGATCCAAAGCTACACAGAGAAACCCTGTCTCGAAAAATAAAAACAAAACAAAAAAGAGTGGGAAATACAGTTTGTAGGGTGTATATTAAAAGTTTGATTTATAATGTGACATCCTATAACAGGCTTGTGATAGGCTTGGTGTTTTCAATCTACTGGTAAGTGGTGGCACACCACTTAGGTGTGCAAGCTGGGCGTTAATGCAAGCCGGGCGTTGGTGGCGTACACCTTAATCCCAGCACTTATGAGGCAGAGGCAGATGAATCTGTGAGTTCGAGGCCAGCCTGGCCTACAAAGTGAGTTCCAGGACAGCCAGGGCTGTTACACAGAGAAACCCTGTCTCAAAAACCAACCAAAAAAAAAGAAAAAAAAAGAAAAGTATCTTCAGCCAGGGGATGGAGTTCAGTGCTAAAGTCCTAGGTTCTATCCCCCATACTTGGGGGAATAATAGATATCTTTATACTACAGGAATGAATTTCAAATGGCTGCCTTCTCCTTCTCTTTCTCTATATTGTCAATACTTTTTGTTTGTTGTTCGTTTTTTGTATTGTTGCTTTTTACTTTTTGTTTGTTTGTTGTTTGTTTGTTTTCCAGACAGGGTTTCTCTGTATTGCTTTGAAGGTTGTCCTGGAACTTGCTCTGTAGACCAGGCTGGCTTCGAGCTCACAGAGATCCACCTGCCTCTGTCTCCCAAGTGCTGGGATTAAGGTGTACGCCACCAACGCCCGGCTTGCATTTTACTTTTTCAAGACAGGATTTCTCTGTAAGGCCCTGACTGCCCTGGAACTTGCTTTGTAGACCCAAGACTAGCCTCAAACTTAGAGATCTGCCTGTCTCTGCCTCATGAATGCTGGGATCAAAGTCTTGTGCCACCATGATTGGCATAGATTTTTGTTTAAAGTCTTTTTATAAATATGTCCATATAGTTTTAACTAACCTTGGACATGTTGTCTATGGCCTTTTAAAAGAGATCTTTGCCTACTCCAAATATATTTATTTTATTTGTTTATTCGAGACAAGGTCTCATGCTAGCATAGAATTCTCTATATAACCCAGGCAGGCCTTAAACTATTTGTAATCCTGCTTCAGTTTCCTGAGTGCTGGTTATGACCCGATATGCCCACCTTGTTTTATCTTTAATATTTATATTTACAGTCACTTGGAACTCATTTATATTTATGTTGTGAAATTACTGGTCAAGATTTAGTTTCATATGGATATCCTACACAGCATAGGATATGCTTACAGAAAAAATAACCATCTTCATTCACTGCTTGTTCTAAGCTACTATGGGTTGTTTTGTTTTTTTTTTTCAAAAATTTTATTATGTATACAACATTCTGCTTCCATGTATATCTGCACACCAGAAGAGGGCACCAGATCTCATAACGGATGGTTGTGAGCCACCATGTGGTTGCTGAGAATTGAACTCAGGACCTCTGGAAGAGCAGTCAGTGCTCTTAACCTCTGAGCCATCTCTCCAGCCCTACTTTGGGTTTTTTTTAAAAAGGTATTTTGGTTTTGTTTTGGATTGAATTGAATCAGTAAATCAATATGAGAGGATGGTTTGTTTAGAATTAAACATTTCATGAACTTGTATGCCTCCATTTGTCATTAAGAGAGACCCTGTTCATCTTCCATAATATTTATCCTAGATGTTTGACATGGAAATGAATAGGGTTAATTAGTTGGACTTTTCTGTCTCATACTCTGTTCTTGAAATGCTATTGGTATCAAAAACTGTTTTACCTTAAATCAGAGATAGTGTGTATAGCGACCCTCTGTGGAGGGTCTCCAGAAATTAATTAAAAATGTAAATGAGTAGTCTAGCAAACTTTTATAGTAAGATTTTTGTACCTAATATTTGCATTTTGAAACAGAATGTTTATGATCATAATTTACAACTGTGTAAAATATTAAAATATGGATATATTAGGCATGGGTACTGAGTAGTATATTTCCTAGCTAAATGAAATGATACACAATTTAGTTATATGGTTTTAGTTTAAATATGAAAATCATAACAGCCACTGTGGTTTCACTTACTTAAGAGTGGAAATAAGTGTTAGGGTGTATTTCAGAGTTAAAGTAGTAAGACCTAAGAGGAGCCTGTTGTGGTGGTACAGGTCTTCAATCCCAGCACTCCTACAGGCAGATGCAGTTGGATCTCTGAGAGTTCAAGGCTAACTTAGTCTATATATCCAGTTGCAGGCCAACTAGAGATACATAATGAGACTCTTGTCTCAAAAAACAAACAAAAAAAAAAGACTTACTATGATATATATGTGTGTATATTAATATATACTTGTAGCATAATAATATTAAATCCTTCTTATAATACAGTATAATATACAAATAGAACATGAATTACTTAAGCATTTTAATCCTTAATTTCTTCATTTGTACTCACCTTTGGAAAGAATTGGAGCAGTACGTACCCCTTAATAAGTGTTTAGTAAACATTTATTTTTCTGAAATTTTAAGCACTAAACATGTGTTTACTTTGGTTAGCATCTTCAATACTTTCTATGTAATAGACTGTGAAGATGCCATATCTTTGTTCTTGGAACTTGCTTTTGCATTAGTACATATACCATATGTGTTCTATATGGTATTTGTAATAAGACAGAGAAATACTTCTTCATCCTTTCATAAGGTACGGTAGTTGTTTGTAGAACATGTGCTTGCTACGTCTTTGCAGTGCTGGGGTGTTTGATTTGTTCAGGTGAAGGAAGTATTGTGCTGTTGGCCCTGTGGGTTGAGTTCTGTGTTGGCATTCTATCAGTGTTGCTACTGCTGCTTGAGTCCTTACTGATTTGTAGATGTCTTGACTGAGCAAGTTACATCCTAACTTTGTAGTTGATGGGTTTATTCTAAATGATTTCAAAAGTTTCTTGCAACTTTGATTTTTATATTAATATACTTCTAATTGTGTTCTACATGAGTATATCAGGAGTCCATTCTATTTTGGGTTTTGTTTGTTTGTTTGTCTGTTTGTTTGTTTTGAGACAGGGTTTCTCTGTATTGCTTTGGAGGGGGTCCTGGAACTACTCTGTAGACCAGGCTGGCCTCGAACTCACAGAGTTTCGCCTGTCTCTGCCTCCCAAGTGCTGGAATTAAAGGTGTGCACCACCAACACCCTGCCTTAAAACTAAATCAATTTTTTTGTTTGATTTTTTTTTTTTTTTGAGGCCTCAACTATGTGGACTTCTCGACTTGAAATGGATTAAGATCTGCTTTCCTCTTCTTCCCAGGTGCTGGGATTAAAGATGTGTATACCATACCTGGCTCATATTAGTACAAGTTTTCCTATGTAGCTTAGGCTGGTCTCAACCTCCCAAGTACTGAGATTATAGGTGTGTGCCACTGTGCCTACCTCAGATGCTAAAATTTAAACTTTTAGTTTATATTTCATAATTATTTTGGTTTTATTTATAGATGCCAGAAGTGGGTTGAAAATTGTAGGAGAGCAGACTTAGAAGATAAAACACCTGATCAACTAAATAAGCATTATCGATTATGTGCCAAACACTTTGAGACCTCTATGATCTGTAGAACTGTAAGTAATAGCCGGCTTGGCTTCTTTTACTCCCTTACTATGTATGGTTTGCAATGTAAATTTTTATTGGAATGTCTACCTATGCCTTACCATTTAAGTTGAAGATAGGTTTGGAGTTAGTAGTATTACCTATTCTCAAAAACTTGACTTTTTAAAACCCTGTATTCTTGATGCCCTATTCCCCCTCATTAGAGGTAACAACTTTAAAACTTATAGAAAATTAAGTGTAGAATACTGTGACTGTTGATTTCAAGCAACTTTTCTAGAATTTTTTTTGTTTGTTGGTTTTTTTTTTTTTTTTATGTGGTTTTAGGGATAGAACCTGGAGCTTTCTGTGTGCTAGGCAAGTGCCCTACCACTGAGTTAGCCCTCTCTAGAGCATTCTTGTGAGTGACAGTCTCACCTGTATGGTGCTCTTTGTGTTCATGATTTGAATGTCCTCTTAAGAACCAACACTCACTTTGTTCCCACTATTTAATTTTTAAGGGGTATCCAGAACAAGAATCTGTACCATGCAGATATGTAAAAATGTTCTCACACCCAGACCTTTCCCTTCTGGGCCCCTTTTCTAAAGAGATGAGACCAAAATCTTAAGATTTCTAATGTTCTAGGATTCTGTTTCAGCAGTAATTCATAAAAGCCAGAAACAGGCAGATTTGATGGACGTGTATGAACCACTGTAGAAACTAATAAGGAAGAGTTTGGTAAATCCACAGTGTTCTTCGGTATAACTAACATTTTGTATTAGGTTTGGGATAGACATAAACTTGACTTGAAGGTACACTATATATTATTATGCAGCAATTTATTTTGATATTTTTTTCAGATACATTTTGCAGAGGCATCAGAAAACTAAAGAATGATTGGGTTATTTTATTTCTCAATATTAATTGAAGCAGATACTTGTGAAGTCATTGGGAGGTGAGCCAATTCCGGTTCAACAATTTAATCACAAATATTTGAGGGATTTTTTTTTTTTTTAACCTTGCTTTGTTACAAGCGTTTTACTGATCAGCCAAAAGGTTTCATATGTTTTAAAGGCAAACTGCTTTTGTTTTCTTGACATTCAGTTAAAATATCATGAATTATTTTAAAATATACAAACCATGCATTTTTACTTTTTTATTTTAGTATAATAAATATCATCTTTTAACTGTAATTCCAGCCTGATTAATTTGAGAAATTTAAAATATAGCTCACTAATATAGCTGACTTTATTCACAGTATAGAATAGAAAGATTAGATAGTTTTGCTTTTTTAATTCCCAAATGATTCATTCATCTTGAGTAAATTATCCCAAACGTGAGAAATGTTCTTTCTGTATGTGTAGAACAAGCGGCTTGAAAGCTGGCTTACACGATAATTGTATTGAAATATGTAAGCCTATTGGCTTCATTAGTTTGGCATTTAAGATCTTGTTAACATACATGAGTAGTTCTGCCAAAGCCAAACTTTTATTATCTTTGATGCTAGAGTAAGATCAGTGTAGTTTCTTTAAATTAGAAAGATTAAACCGTGATATGGATTTAGAATTGTTCACATGCGTTAGATACAATCTTTTGACATGTATATTTATAAATGAATATAAAATATCTCATTTTTCATTCATATTCTAATTTTTTGATCTTTACTTTGCTAGATTTGAATTTTTAAAATTCTCTAAAATGTTGACTGTGTTTAATTTTGAGACTTGGGCTCGGTGAGAAAGATGAAAAACTCAGGGTATCATAGGTCTTTGCTTTCCTCTGTAGCTTTGTCCATACCAGTCCCAATCCAAACTTTCTGGTAGACTCAGTTCTTAGTCCAGCATTAGAAGCCAAGTATTAACTAATTACATTTCAGCTTGGCATGGTAGCTCATACCTATAATTCCAGCAGTTAAGAGGCAGAGGTAGATGGGATCATGAGTTGAAGCCCACTTGAATAATATAGTGAGACCATGTCTCAACATACTAAAAAATTTAAATATAGTAAATAATAATAACAAATCAGACTTTCTTTTGTTTTCTGTGACATGTGGGATTGAATTAGAAAACACTGACTCTTACTAGTAATTCTCCCTGAGTGCATTCAGCACCTTTTTGGATGGAATCCAAGGCGTGCGTTCCACTTAGATATATTTTCCTGTTCTAGCTTCCCAACCTCCCTTACCAAGGTGAAACATTTAGAGAAGTCAGCTTTGAAATAATCACTACTACCAAGAAAGTTCTCAAATGAAGTGTGTTTTGTGTGTTTCTCTGTAACTGGAGGGAAAAATAAAAGTCACTGTCTCTTTGGACTAGCTAGTGGGAATAATACATATTTATCAGTTACTCTCCTTAATTAATTTCTTGTCTCAGCTTTCTCTTGGCTCACTATGGAAGACTGTCACTGTGTATATTTGGGTCTAAGCAGGGCAGAGAAAGGTGCTTCTTCATCACTGAAGAAGAAAGTTTAGAAATGCCTAATTGAGCATTAATAGAATTGTGATTATGTATTTTGTTATTCTTAGTATGTGAATGATTTCGTTTTAGAAGATGTTGATCTACTTGACACCTGACTCCTATTTAGAACAAGAAACTGGAGTCTAAAAAGTCATTGGTCAAGTTAATGTTTTTTTACTGTGCCTTGATATGTCCGAGTACTAACAACAGTGGAGTGAATGGCAGGTAAGGAGGGCGCATCATGATAGAACACAAAAGGGCATAGTTTGGGAGACCTGTGATTCCTATAGATTTGGTAGCTAATGGAAGGACAGAACAGATAAGATCTCTGGAAGGGCCCGGATTTTGCAAGTCTGTACTTTAGAGACAGGTAAAGTAGTTCTAGAGAAGTCATTGATGTAGCATTTTATTTCCTTTTTTTTTTTTTTTTTTTTTTTTTTTAAAACCAGATACTTGTGAAGTCATTGGCAGAGTCCTTATCGAACAGTTCTTCGAGATAATGCAATACCAACAATATTTGATCTCACCAGTCATTTGAACAATCCACATAGCAGACACAGAAAACGAATAAAAGAATTGGTATGTCTCTGACTCTTTAGCTTTCCTTTCTCTCCACAATCCTATTAAATAAAGTATGGAAGCATTTGTTAACAGGTCTCCCAGGTAGTATGCTAGGAAGTGGGTACTGTGCTTAGTAAGATGCTTAGTCTGTCTTACTACTATTTAAATAGGGAAAGCTTCTCCAGATATAGCTAGTTGATAGTTGTTGACTTGGGACAAAGTGTGCTGTTAATTACAGGCCACTAGTTCATTGCTTTCCTGGGACTGGTAGCAAATGAAATTGGTGAGTTTCCAGAATTCAGCACAAAGGGATAAAGAAAAGGAAAGTGTTAGAATTTGAGATCTAGATTGTTTTAGAGATGAGAACTTCACTATTGTTGACAGAGTCTAGAAATTGTTTAAAATGTCATATAATTTATTTATATGCTTTTACAATCTTTTGCTGCCTTTCAGATCTGATAACTGAAACCTACCTATCTTTTGTTGACCTCAGGTGAACACCATTATTTACACATTACCACTATCAAGGCCTTTTTTGTTCGATTTTATTTAGCTGTGTAATTATTTATTAGGCACACATGCCATGGCAGCATGCATATGGACACCAAAGGACAAATTTTAGGAATTGGTGTCTCCTACCTAGGGAGCCAGGGATAGGCTTGTAAGGCACACACCATTGCCTGCTAAGTTGTCTTACTGGCTCAGCTCCCCTTATCTAGTTTTGAAGACAAGTTCCTGTTATGTTAGCTCTTCAGAGATTGTTTTGTTTTGTTTCAAGAAAAATTTGCATGTTGTAGACATTGGTCCTAAAAGCTAGGTGGGACTCAGTGAAGCCTCCCAGCTTGGAATGAGTGGGAGTTTTGTTTGCCTGCCCAGTTTCTTAGTTTTCTCTTCTTGTGGTTTAATTGTGTTTCTAAGTTTGTGATCTTTATCTAGAATTTTTTAATGTTTCGCTTTCTCTGTTCCTAAACTACTTCAGTAGTGTTTTTCAGAGTCAGTAGTTAGTTTATCAGCAACCACTTTTTTTTTTTTTTTAACTTTTTTTAGCTTCCTGAATGTTTTGGCTTACATGGGTATCCAAAGCCAGTTTAGATGCTTTCCCTGCTTAGCTGGCAGGATTTTATAATCTCCCCTAGTTCTTTAAGATTATTGTTTTTGTTTTGAAACCCTCTTCATGTAGTTTATTTCAAATGTTAGGTGGTACATGGAGAGCACCTATAGTCCACGGGATGTTGTATTTGTATCTTCATTGTCCCTGAAGTCTAGTGCTTCCTCTGGTAATTCATTGTTCTCCATGGAAGCTTTTTGAAGTTTTTATTGTGGACACTTAAATTTTACTGAATAGGGACAGGATTATAGCCCGGTGGTACAGTACTTGCCTGGCATTTTCAGGGCACTAGGTTCAGTCCCAAGCACTGCCAAAACAATTTAAAAAAAAAATGGCTGGGTGGTAGTGGCACACATCTTTAATCCCACCACTCAGGAGGCAGAGACAGGCAGATCTCTGATTTCAGTGCCAGCCTGGTCTACAGAACAAGTGCCAGGACAGGCTTCAAAGCTACACAGGGAAACTGTGTCTCAAAAAACAAATAAATAAGTAAAATTAAAAAGTCGTATTTTCATTCCCTTTATTATCTGGTCTGATGGCCATTTTACATTTCAGGACTTAATCTTTCATGCTTATTTTGCTTTCTCATTTTTTCCCTTCTGCTTCTCTGGGATTTATTGTAGATGAATGCTGACACTCACACTCAGTCCTTTGCATCAGCTGCTGCATACCTATATACTCTGCCTTTTATGGCAGGCACACTTCTACACATGCCATCCTTTAACTACTGCCCTCTGGATTGGGTGGGGGATGGGCACTGTTCAACCTAACCAGCCTGCTAATGATTTTTAGTAGTAGTAGTGTCCAGAGCTGCCCATCAGGTGCCCTGCTGTCTCTGGCTGTCATTGGCACCGTTGTTTTCCTGCCATGACTGTGATAAAAAAAACACTTGAGAGTATTGATAGGAGAATAAAAGTCAAATCTGCAAAGTTCTTTCTCAGTCTACCTATGATTTGGTTTTGCGTAGATAGAGTATACTCTTCCTATTTCTTTCTCTTCTGAGCTGACACTGTCACTTTCTGCTTCCTAGGGACTTCATTGTCTTTCATTAAGTTCTGTGATTCAGCAGCCTCCTTGTTTTGTGACATCTTTAGGGTTAGATTGTGTTCTTTTGAATTAGATGCTAAGTGTTGTGGTGTACCTTTATGCCTTATCACTCAGTACACAGTTAGGATACTTCAGGGAGAAAGCAGGTTAAGTGTGCTTTCTCTTCTAGTACTTATAAGCTTGGAATCATGAGCATATTACATAGTATTGGTTTCCTATCATCTGTTTGAAGAATGTCTTCTACATGAAGAATTGATGCTCTTTGAGACTTAAGGATGTAGCTTAGCTGATTAGAATGCTGTATAACATGCATGAAGTCCTGGTAGAATGCTTGTGTAACATGCATGAAGTCCTGGGATTGGTTCCTAGCACCACATAAAAAGTTCAAGGTCATCATCCTCAGCTACTTAGTTCAAGACCATCCTGGAATATAGGAGACTGTTTCTTTAAACAACAATAGTAACAAAACCCCTTAAACTCCTAAATGAGATTTTTTTTTCTTTTCTTTCTTTTTTTTTTTTTTTTTTTGACTTAAACTGGGCTTTTTTTAAGTCTAACATGATTTACTAGTGATGATTGTGTTAAATTTTTTTCTTCTTTTTTAGAGTGAAGATGAAATCAGGACACTGAAACAGAAAAAAAGTAAGTGATAATGTTAATGAATCAGCTTCTGAAGGCCTTTTTAAAAGGCCTTGACCTGGTAAGAACAAGTAAATATGTTTTATATCCAAAACCTCCCTTGAGTGTGAATGTAAAAGTGTGGTTGACTTTGTGCTGCATTCTGGAGTTATTGGACACTACAGTCTTAGTTCTTCCTGTGTCTGCAAAGGATTGTTGTATTATACTCATTGCCATGTACAGAGAGCCCAGACGAACTCCTCCCCTCGTGCTCTCGGGTGGCAGGTCACAGAGTGTCCCAGTAGGGAAGGAATCTCCAGTAAAGCAGCCAGTCCAATTCTACCCATGCACCTTGTGAAACATAATTATTTCTTGGCTGTAAAGGCAGTTGGTACTTCGGGTGTAGTGATTGCAGAGTCTTTGTAGGTGCTGATGCGTAAGCTGTCCCATCAAAGGATGAGGCTAGAAGTTGTTTCTGTTCTTCCCAGTTGACACCATTTCTCCTCCTTTATCTTCTCTTGCTACTATAGACATAACTTTGATCAATGCCCTTTTATCATCCTAGTGCTTTAATTTTCACAGTAGCTACATAATAAGTAATATTATCTTTCTTCTTTATAGATGAGGAAAACAGATGCAGCAAAGAAAGACGAGTATTCTATGTAAACATAAAGTAGAACAAAATGAGCTACTAGATTGAAGTAACCACACTCATTTAGATGTTGTTAGAGTTTCTTGACAGCCTATGATGCTTAACCAATGAACCCAGAGGAGAGAGCACAGAGTTCAGAACTTGCAGCATTGTGAGCTGCTAGCAGTTGGAACCACTGAGGAGTTTGTAATTAGGTGATAACATGGCCAGGCTTCCATGGAGCACTTTGGACTAAGAAAGACAACCATGTAGGCAGAAGGACCAGAACTGGAAGAACTTGTATGTAGGTAATTCACATATAAAATTATGTTCAAACGGAGAGAGACTGGGTTTTCACTTTATATTTTTTACTTTGTGCTTTATTAAGCATCTTTTTTAAAATAGTAGAATTAATACTTGTTGACAAAAAATGAAAGAATAAAGGAGGCAGAGAGAAGGGAGGGGCAGCAAGAAAGACAGACATCCAGGATAACATCTTTCTTTCTGGGTGGTGCATATAATAGAGGAGGAACTGTATACACTGAGGAGGGTTTAGGGAGGAGTCTTCCCTGGCCTCACTGAGCCCTGCTGAGCTCTGAGAGTCTGGATGCCTAGAAGCACAACTTACACCGTCCTAGTCACACTAGACTTTGCTCTGTATCAGGCAGCCTGCTTGTCTCTGCCGCCTTAGTGCTTTGACTAGAATCTGAATATACCACCTACCTGATGTGCCTTCCTTGCCCTTGTCCCCAGTACTCATGTAATTATCAAATACAACAATTCAGTTGTTTTCTGTCCCTCCCAGTGATGCTATACAATTTTTGGTGGCTTTCTCATAGACTTAGACTTTAAGAACTGGGTTTTAAATGATTCTTCAGATTTTAATTCTTTTCCTGGGACCATACTGACCAGTATGACTATAGTCAGAATACTTTCCCCATCCAGATTTCAAAAGACTAGCTGAGCTTGCTAATACTATAATATTAACCCCACCCCTATTATATGAATCTATATTATGTTGGTTTTTATAGAGCTATCTTCCATATAGAAGCATGGCTTGACAGGTAGAGGCAACATCTATGTGGATCTTGGATTTTGTTTCATTTCTATCTTTGTAATTTTATCTGTGGCCTTGGGCAAGTTATTTCCTGCCCTTATTTGTCAAGTGGGATTGATAGCATCTGCCTGAAGAAAGTAATGTGATACATGTAAAATGTGAAAATACTGGGCCGGCCGTTGGTGGCGCACGCCTTTAATCCCAGCACTTGGGAGGCAGAAGAAGGCGGATCTCTGTGAGTTCGAGGCCAGCCTGGTCTCTAGAGCGAGTGCCAGGATAGGCTCCAAAGCTACACAGAGAAACCCTGTCTCGAAAAAAAACAAAAACAAAAAACAAAAAAAAAAAATGTGAAAATACCTGTGCAAATACTTTTTCTTTTCACCTTCCTTTTTCTAATGGTATGTACTGTGTGTGAAAATACCTATGCAAATACTTTTTCTTTTCACCTTCCTTTTTCTAATGGTATGTACTGTGATTTGTGTTAATAGTTTGTGAAATACCTTGTAATTTTATTAAAAATCGTTCCTACTTCATAACAGCATGTATGTTTATTCAAATCTGTCCACAGCATTTGTCTCTCCTTTTACTAACTTATTTTAATTTGTGTCCTATTCTGTCAATGTTTTATTAATGGTGAATGAATGAGTTTGTAGGTTTTAAGTATTTAACCAATCAAAAGTGTAACCTGTTTTGTCTTTTGTGGTTCCTCATGAATCTTTTGTAAAACTAACCCTTTGTTTTCCAGTTGAAGAAACTTGTGAACAAGAACAGGAAACTAACAGCAGTGCTCAGAACCCCAGTACAGAAGCGGGGAGCCAGCAGGATGGGAATGTGTTACCTTTAACCCTTGAAGAGAAGGAGAACAAAGAGTACCTCAAGTCATTATTTGAGATTCTGATCCTCATGGGAAAGCAGAACATACCCTTGGATGGACATGAGGCCGACGAGATCCCAGAAGGCCTCTTTGCTCCGGATAACTTTCAGGCGCTACTGGAGTGTCGAATCAATTCTGGAGAAGAGGTCCTGAGGAAGCGCTTTGAGACCACAGCGGTGAACACCTTATTCTGCTCTAAAGCTCAGCAGAGACAGATGCTGGAGATCTGTGAGAGCTGCATTCGGGAGGAGACGCTCAGGGAAGTGAGAGACTCGCACTTCTTTTCCATCATCACAGACGACGTGGTGGACATAGCAGGAGAAGAGCACCTGCCCGTGCTGGTGAGGTTTGTCGATGAAGCTCATAACTTGAGAGAGGAGTTTGTGGGCTTCCTGCCATATGAAGCTGATGCAGAGATTTTGGCTGTGAAATTTCACACTACAATAACTGAGAAATGGGGATTGAATATGGAGTATTGTCGTGGTCAGGCTTACATTGTGTCCAGTGGCTTTTCTTCCAAAATGAAAGTTGTTGCTTCAAGACTTTTAGAAAAATACCCCCAGGCTGTCTACACACTCTGCTCTTCCTGTGCCTTAAATGCGTGGTTGGCGAAGTCTGTCCCTGTGATAGGGGTATCCGTGGCTTTAGGAACAATTGAGGAAGTCTGTTCTTTTTTCCACCGATCACCACAGCTGCTTTTAGAACTTGACAATGTAATTTCTGTTCTTTTTCAGAACAGTGAAGAGCGGGGTAAGGAACTGAAGGAAATCTGCCATTCCCAGTGGACAGGCAGGCATGACGCCTTTGAAGTCTTAGTGGATCTCTTACAAGCACTTGTGTTATGTTTAGATGGTATAAATAGCGACACAAATATTAGGTGGAATAACTGTATAGCTGGACGAGCATTTGTACTCTGTAGTG